CAAACACACACACTTCAGATTCTTACATAAGCTGAAAACTTGGTAACCATTTTTTTAATTTCACTAGACATTCAACCAATTCTTATTAACAAGGTATTGTAAGAGATTCTTTTAAAAAGAATCTACCCTTAATAGCAGGCTTTCTTTCATCCCAACCCCATACACTACGACCATTATATCCATCTAGCTTACGGCCTCCTTAAGCTGGCACCACTCTATTACCATCTGTATTTGTCTCCACAAGTCAAATGCTAGAGAGTTTTCATAGTTCTGTGCCCCAAAACAGAGCCATAAGGTTATAGGAGATTACGGACAATTTTGGCAGAACTGCAAAACCACTCAGGTTCAGAAGACAACAATGTAGTTTATTTAACCTACAGGAGAAACAACAGATTCCTAAGGCCACAGATGATCAGAGCGTCCACAGTATCCAGAAATCCCGAACAAAAGGCCACTCACCCAAGATGGCATCCAGTCAACGAAGTCCTGCAGTTTCGAGGCGGTGGCCAAGCGACAGGCCAAGAACCAAGTCTCTGCAGCAGGAGGTGCTCACACCACCCGCAAGGCAACTGCCTGGGGTGACCCTGCCGAGGCAGACGCCAGTCTGAAGGTCCCGCTGGGTAGCACCACCCTCGCTAATACCTGCCTGATTGGACCACTTTTACTTCCTAGTAACTGATTGGCCCATCTTAGGGCCAATCAGCCCGTCTGCCGCCAAATAGTTAACTAATGAGCACGAGTGGTTCATTAGGCGCGCAGGTCCTGAGTCCATTCTCCGATCCAGGTGCCCAGCCGGCTATCAAACCCACCAGTGCCGGCCAGTCCTCTGTGCAGCCGTCCAGCGGCCGTCATGCTACTGTGGAGACCCGGGTGCTGTTCAGAGGCGGTGCTCTGGACGGCTTGAGGGAAACTGGAGCAAAACCAGGCTGGCGCCCAGGAGAGGGGCTGCCCACAGGAGGCAGCTTCTGGCGCAGGCAGGGGACACCACCATGTTCCCAGTGGTTCCCACCACGCAGGTGGCAATAGGAAAATGCTAGTCTTGCACCCACTACAGTTTTGCCCACCCAAAGCTTCGTATACACTATTTCATATAAGTCAGAAATAAAATGGGGGAAAGCAAAAACAAACCATAATAAAGGAAATGCTAGGTCTGTAAGGCTGATATAAAGTGCTGTTTACATGAGGGAGAATTTGCAAAACAACTCTTTATATCTTTATATTAATTAACATTTCCGGAGAAGGTAAATGAGCTAACACAAGCAGGCAAACTTTTTTATCACTTATATTTTTCTAAGAATGATTGTTCCATGAGGAAAATATATGCAAAGGCATGGAGCAAAAATTTAGAGGAAGATTGTTTAAGAAATCTATGAAAGTGAATAATGAAAAATAAAACTCAACAGATAAAATGAGCACTGTAAAGTCTTCAATGTGTACAATCTGAGTCTACTCAAATTAGTAGTAGGGAACTTGTACTTTGACCAAAATTTTAACAAGTCTAAGTTTTAGGAAAAGTAATCTGGCAGGATGGATGTGAGGAGTCAGAAATGAAATAGGAGGTGAAGCAGCCGGTTACGTTTTACTTTTAGGGCAATACAAAAAGAGATGTATAAGATCAAAATAAGCAGAGATGTATATAATATAGTGAAAAAGCCCATGTTAAAATGACTTCAAGAAACAAGTACATTTAGTAAGAAATAAATTTGCAGGAATTTAATGGAAACCGCAAAATGTTAAGAGAACTTAAACAGGGACCATTTAAAATGGCAGTCTCAAATAACCACCATGTCAAATTCACTGAACACTACTGCCCCCACTCCCTTATGAAAAGGATGTTGGCTTCTTAGTTTCACATTGATACATAACCAAAATTTAAAATGAAAATTAAACATGTACACAATATAAAAATAGCTCAGTGAAAAATAATAAGCATGATTTTAAAACCTATGATGCCCTAAATATAATACTTCAAACACAAACTAAAATTATCATACAGAGTTCCATATACTGGTTATGAAGACTCCAGAAACTGTCAGATTTAAAAAAAAAAAAAAAACTTATAAATACACACTTTCTAGTGATAAGGGCCAAAGACCTCTGTGCACCAGGAAATTCATAAATATATTAAGCTGGATTTTAAAATAAGTACACTGCAGGTACAAATTCTGTGGCAGGGCAACCTGACTTATTTTGAGGGCAGACAATTCTGCTGTACCTAATTTCAGGGACAGGCAATTCTAACATACCAGAGATCAGACTAAGTGTTTAACATTTCTGTGAGCTTCTGAAAGTCTCTGAACAGGAAAAGAATGAATAATCTGTTATAATGTGAATGGAAGTTATTGCTGGAAAATGAGATCACAGGCTTTTATTACTTTTATTTTTTACCTCTTTCCTATAACAAAATCAGAAAAAGCCAAAAAAAAATTTATGAATTTCCTCTTACCCCCCAAAGGTATGTATGGTCCAAGAACCCCTATGAATGTCTGAAGTTACAGACAGTAACAAACTCTGCATTTTCTGTCTTTTTACTACACATACATACCTATGAATTTAATTTATAAATTAAGCATAATAAAAGATTGAAAATAACAAATTATAATTGTAACAAAGTTTAGTAATACAGGTTACGTAAATGTGAGCTCTCAAAATTTGATTGTATTATACTCACCTACCTTCTTGTGATGAGACAGTGCCTACATGATGAGTGAGATGAAGTGAATGACAGACATTGTGAGGTGGTATAAGGCTACTTACTACACACAGCTGTGAACCGCTGACAATGGGATGACTCACAGTTGATCAGGGCAGGATGACCTGGGATTTCATTATGATACTCAGAATGATACGCAACTTAAACATTTTATTTCTGAAATTTTTTCACTTAATACTTTCACTTAATGATTGACTACAGGTTAAACTACAGTTAAAACTGAGGAAAACACAAGGGTTTGCTGCATCCATTTTAATTATTGAATGCTAAGAAACTCTTGTTTGTATGTGAGAACTGAGAGGATTTGGGGCATTGATTGACATATAGGAACTTTAGCCTAGACTAATGGCATTTGAAAACTGCTTCAAATACATGGCTGAATATCATTACATACTAATTCTGCATTCTTTTGGACAAATTTGGTTTCTGAGTTGAAGATAAATCATATTTTGAGTTAAAATATATAAAATTGGAAGGTTTATCAAATCATGAGCTCTCCATAGATGAGTTAGCTGGCAAGGATTAAGTGAAAGGCAATGTAGAATGGACCCAATCAGATGTCCAGCTCCCGTCTTTAGCAGTTGACTCTAGAATAAGCCCTGGCAACCAGGTTCTCTCTTTCAGTAGTGCAAGTACCTGAAGTAGGCACTGATTCCTAAGGCATCTGCTTCCAAGATGGCCATCTTGAATACACACCCTGATAGTCACACACTAGCTAAATAGCCAGACCCTCCTTCCCCATTTAGGCACCTTTGTTTTAGAGATCATGGTTGATTACAATAGCTATTTGGACCACTTGTTACTCTTCTGGAGCTTTGTTTTCGATTCACCCATAGTGAGCACAGGAAGCCCTATGGCTTCCATACTGGATTCCAGCAAAACCAGAACTCAAGTCCTTTCATTCTACCTGTGACCTGTGTGGCCCTAGGTATGCTAATGAAATTTCTAGATCCTCTAATAACACTTTTTTTTTTCTTCAGTATTCTGCTGAAGGACATTTTGCAATCATGATGAGAACTGGTTAGGAAAGCAGAGATGGGAGATATTTATAGTTAGCTCGTCTGGGCCCAGGTGACTACCCTCAGGCATCTCTAGTATAACAGCATTAGTATCAACAGGCTGAGATGGGCAGAAACACTGTCATTTACTCCAGCACATCATTTAACCTCTGAACTTTCAGCTTTCTCATCTATAAAATGAAGAGAAACCTACATAATTATCATAATGATTAACACTAATGCATAAGCTGGCACACAGTAGATGGTTAAAAGTTTTGCTACATTATACTCATTTCTACTCAAAAGATCTGACTATATGACAAAAGCAAGTATGATTTAGTTTAGCAGGATGGTAGATATAAAAAGATAGAAAGACGTGCTGAACCCCTTTGGAAACCTAGTCTTTCCTTATCTGAATTCTTACTGGCAACTCCTAGCAATATATCCCATTCCTTCACCAAATCAAGATCAGCACTGCTGCTCTGCCAGACCAGGGAAACCCGTGAAGGGAGAGAACAGTGGGAGGTTCCAGGTTCCCTGCCCCACCCAATGAATGGTGGAACTGAGCAGGGAGAAGCTGGAATGTACACCGTGGAAGAAAGATGCAGAGCCAGAAGACCTAAAGGAGACACATGAAACAGACATATGAAGAAGTTGTGCTTGCTTCTTGGTCTCGGACTGGTTAAAACAGATGTAGGAAAAGGAACCATGGGAAGGTTAACAATGACAGCTTTTTATTCCTTCTGTCCCAGATGTGCTGAACCCCTTTGGCCCCTTTTCTATGGGTCCCCACCAGATGGTGCCTTAAGACTTGTGGCAGGCTTTTGGGTCACAGTGCTTTGGCCCTGCTTTGGGCCAACCTTGTTTGGCTGGGCATTTATCCACAAGGGGCTGGATTAACTTTGGGTGTTTGATCTGAAAACTATATTCTTTGTCTTTTCTTTGTTGCACACTAACTGTATTTAAGTTTCCTTTCCATTAAAGGTCTTACTAGAGTACATTTCTTCTTGATCCTGAGGATGGCAGAACCTACTTACAAAGGGGTGATTTGGGAGTTCTGGAGTTCCCTTCACCCTGCCCTATAACAGGAGTAACAGAATAAAGAAAATCTGAGCCCAAAACTAGCAATCAATACTGCTGCCTTTACGCAGCAAGAGATTTTAACGAGAAATAGATGCAACAGAAATATTATGAAACCCAGTAATGAGACTATCTTCCTATTCACAGGAGACGAGAGGAATTCATTGTTGAGAATAAAATTTGTGTTTAATAAATACCCATCAATGGAAATGTACAAACTTTATTCTGTAACCTATAGCTTTATATAAGCTGAACATTTATATATTATACATATACATATAACAAGCTAAGCATTTTTGTATACTTTGCTCCACATTAAGAGGTACATTTAATTTTATTACAAGCCTCTCTCCTCCCCCCCACCAAAATCAGAAATCTGGCCAGGCATATGTAGTACCACTTTTACTCATTCATACCTCCATTCCATCATGTAGGGAATTCACACATTTACAACAAAGATAACCACCATGTGCACAGGGGAAGGCTAGTTGAGTATGAGGGCCACTTGAATGTACCTCTCTAACAGCAATGCCTTTTGTTTGCATCATTGACTATTTCTTCACAGCATCTAGAACCATACCCAGCAAACAGTAGCTGCTCAATGAACACTTGATGAACATTCACTGAATAAATGGACTATTCTTTGAAGAGATAATTTCCACCTCAATAAAATTATTTCAGTGTTGAACGCTTAAAGGCTTGGAATTTTTCCCAATTACTCTTATGGAAAAAACCTCAAAAGAAGGAAAAGATTTCCTTTATATTACAAAACTGACTGCACTGCCTAATGAAGCAAAAGCAGATAACCCTAGGAAAAAACCTTTCTATAAAATACTGTTTTAATATAATTTTATTAGCAGTTATTACATCAAAATTCACATTTACAGGATCCAAAGTACTGTGATAGAAAAACCTAAAGCACATGTAATTGACTTGAACATATTTAAGATAGAACATATTCTCATTATAACACAGCCTTAAAAATCAAGAATAATACTGAGAATTAAGTGCAGTTCTATCAAGAAAAGTTCATGGAAGTATAACATACTTCTAGGGATGTTAATTTTCAGTGGCAAACATCACTGCCTTCTAAACAGCTGACACTAAAGGAATTTCTGATCAAAACACAAGTGCAGTAGCTTTCACCCAATATAGAGCTCTGATAATTCTACTGAGACCCTGAATCCTTATGTACATATGATTTTTCGGTGTGACACTAATACAAAACACATCAACTCTAATGCACAGATTCTGACACATTATAACAACAGGATACTAAAGATAACTTTTCTATATCAGAAAATGCTGAGTTTTCCAGTGCAGTATAGGGTGATCATTGCTGATCTAATGAAATTCTACAGCCGCCAGCTTGAGCAGTATTGTAGGATTCACAAATATTGCATTTCATTCCTAATATATGGAACTGCACTGTAGATCTTCCATTGCAATCATTGCAGAGAATCTGAAAAGTGAAGAGATGAATTAAAATTAAGTATACTGAATCTTACTAATATAAAGCAGCAGTATCTGCTCAAAACAATTCCTCAAAAATCATATTGCAAAAATGAAAATATATAATCCCAATCGTTTCCATAAGTAGGAATACCTTTCATTTCTGAGGACAAACAGGTTTTTAAGAATCCACTTTCGGGCCCTCCCTGGTGGTGCAGCAGGTTAAAACACAGCACTGAGAAGCTAACGCCACTTCCGCATGAGTTCGATTCCCGCCTGCCCAGGAGGTGACCACATGGCGTGGCAGACTTCTCCTGACCCGCCCACTGCTCCCCTCAGCAGTGTACTTCGTCGATCTGCCTGTTCTGCTCCCCACTCTGTCTCTGGTGAAGCCTCTAGCCGCCCCTGAGCCTCTGGACTGTACCCTAGTTCTGTATGTACAAATAAATCTTTTAAAAAAAAAAGCACAGCAACACCTGCAAAATTTTAGATTGCAAACTAAGATCAAAAAAATTTTGAAATAAAAGGTAATAAACATCAAAAACCAAAAATTAATCTTTTTTAAAAATCAACAAGCACATTTATCTGAAATAAAATTTAAGTAATCTAAAATAAAACATCAAACTAGTAACCAGCCACTAGTGAGGTACATTACTGACTCTGGCAAGTAATGTATAAATAATTCAGAACCAGGTTGTTTCCTGCCATCTAGTGTTAGAAAGAATTTAGAAAGATAATTCTTAGTAAAGATTATTTTGTCCTACAATAAACTAAAAAGCTCTGTACAACAAGAGAGACAATAACCAAAACAAAGAGACATCCTATGGGATGGGAGTAAATATCAAAGATCTACAAAAAGCTTATACAACTCAACAAATCAGTCAAAAAAATGGGCAGAATTAAAGGCACTTCCCCATAAAAATGGCCAACAGGCATATGAAAAATTGTTCGACATCACTTATTATCAGGAAAATGCAAATCAAAACCACAATGAGGTACCACCTCACACCCATGTGAACAGCCCATATTGAAAAAAAAGGTGACCCAGCAATCCCACTCCTAGGTATCTACCCAAAAGACACACAAGCCACTGATTCAAAAAGATACCTGCACCCCCATATTTATTGCTGATTTACTATTGGAAAGACATGGAAACAACCCAAATGCCAAAAAGTAGATGACTGGATTTAAAAAATGTGGTATATATACACAATAGAATATTACTCAGCAACCAAATAAATAAATAAACACATGCCTTTTGCAGCAACATGGATGGAACTGGAAAAGATCATGCTTAGTGAAATAAGCCAGAAGGAAAAGGAAAGATAATGGATGATTTCGCTCATAGCAGGAGTATAACAGACCAGGTGAGAGGATAATAATAATAATAATGAACAGTTATATACCAAAGACATTTTATGAGGGTGGAGTGGGGATCAAAAACAGGGAGGGGAGGAAAAATACACTGGACTATGGTGATTTGGTTATGGGAAGCCCATGGGGATTACAACTGAGATGGAAAAATGCACAAAATGATATAAAAATAAACTATTATTTCATTAAAAAAAAAAAAAAAACCTGGCAACAACAAATGCTGGCAAGGATATGGAGGAAAAGGAACACTCTTACACTGCTGGCGGGAATGTAAACCGTATGACCACAATAGAAAGCTGTGTGGAGGACCCTCAAAGTAAAAATGGATTTGCCTTATAAGCCAGCAATTCCACAGAAACACTAATTCAAAAGGAAATCTGCATTCTTACGTTTATTACAGCACTACTTACAATAGCTAAAAGACGGAAACAACCTAAATGACCCCAAAAGATGAATAAAGTAGGTAGATGTAGTATATATACACAATAAACATTACTCAGTGATCCAAAAAGATAAACTGATGTCATGTGTAGCAACATAAAAGAAGCTGGAAGGGATTATGCTAAGCAAAGTAAAAAGGAAAATAATGGATGGCTTCACTTAAAGGTGAAGCAGCAAAAGTCAAAGGGTCTGGAAAAAAGACAGAACTTGCAAGTTGACCAAATAGAGGCAAACAGAAAGAGAAGGGGGGAAAAGGTCAGAAGTCAGGAGGGGGCCTCCCTGGTGGCACAAGGAGTTAAGTCTCAGCACTATGAAGCTACCGGCAGTCACCAAAGCTGACAGCTTAAGTTCCATGCCCAGCCAGAGATCTGACCCTTATGGCACAGCAGACCTCTCCTGTCTTGCCCACTGCTCTGCTCAGCAGTGTATTCTGTCAATGTGTCTGTTCTCCTCCCCACACTATCTCTGGTGAATCTTTTCACCCCTTTCTCCTTTCTAGCCTACACCCCAGCTCTTGAATACATAAATAAACAAATAAATCTTCAAAAAAAAAAGGAGAGAAGAGCACAAGGGACTAAGTGATGGTCACAAATGAAATGGTAGTAGGAGGACTACAGGGACTACACCTAACAGGAGAACAATAATGCAAGCCCATTGTCCCTGGTGGTGCAAGAGTTGGTTAAAGTGCAGCCTTATGAAGCTATCCTCAGTTACTGTAGCACTAGCTCAATACCTGGCCAGGGAGCTGACCCACATGGCACAGCAGACCTCTCCTGTCTCGCCCACTACTCCCCTCAGCAATGTATTTCAGTCAATCTGACCTGCTCCCCATACTCTGTCTGGTGAATCCTCTAACTCGCTGCACCTCTGGCCTGTACTACAGTTCTTAGATGCATAAATAAATAAATCTTTAAAAGAAAATAAGTAAAATACAAATTTTTAAGGGATTATTTTGTCTACAGGAGAAAATACTTGCATTATCATATGTCAACAATGGGCTGATTTCAAAAATATATAAATAACAACAACAGAACAACCCAAACAAAGAATGGGCAAAGACCTAAAGAAATATTTTCCAAAGAAGACATACAGATAACCTACAAACACATGAAGAAATTCTCAATACCACTTACTGTAACAGAAAGACACATCAAACCCACAGTAAGATATCACCTCACCCCTTTGAGAATGACCTAGGAAACAAGTGCTCACAGGGTATGAAGAAAAAGGAACTTTCACTGTTGGCAGGAATGTAAATTACCTCTACAAAAGCACGGCATGGAGATGCCTTTAAAAAATAAAAATCAAATGCCCCACAATCCATCAAGATCACTTTTAGGTATTTAGCATTTAGGAATATGTGAACTCTACTATGAAAAGATTTATGCACTCTGTCACAACAGCATTATCTATATAACCAAGGCATGGAATCAACTTAAAGACCACTGAGACACTGGATAAAGAAATTATGACATATATACTCCACAGACTATGATTCAACTATTTACAAAAGCGACTTCTGGAACACTATGGATGGAGCTTGAGGTGATTTATGCCAGGTAAAGTGAGAAGGTCAACAATGACTACCAGGTAGTTTCACTCATTTGTGGACTGTAACTAGCCAAAGGGGAAAAAACTGGAAAATAAACCTTGGACTCTGAAAACAATGATGGTTTCCAGAGGGGGAGGGAAGGAATAACAAAAAGGGAAAAAGGATGTTTGACAGTGTTTTGGCACTGGAACTTTGGTGGAAGGTAAATGAAGTATGTGCATATGCTGTTAAATGGTACTCTCAAAAGTATACAGTTTTGGTAAACAATGGGGAATCATTAATATTTGCTATAAAAAATTATAATAGGCCCTCCCTGGTAGCACAGCAGGCTAAAGCACAGCACTAAGAAGCTTAAGCCACTTCCGCACGAGTTCAATTCCCGCCTGCCCGAGAGGAGATCCACAAGGCGTGGCAGACCTCTCTTGGCCCGCCCACTGCTCTCCTCGTCGATCTGCCTGTTCTGCTCCCCACTGTGTCTCTGGTGAATCCTCTCACCCTCTGCATCTCTGGCCTGTACCCCAGTTCTGTATGAATAAATAAATCTTAAAAAAAAAAATTATAATTTTTAAAAGATGTTGTCCCTCCCATTAATTATCATTTAGCACTTATACTCAGAAGTATCTTTTAGACAGATCTTAGCAAAAGAACAAAAATAAAAAACATCAAGAAGGAACATGAACGCTTTTAAGCACTTATTCTACTCACATCCACAGTCATATTCTGATATTCCGATGGCATAGGAGTCTGTGCTACCTCCTCATCCAGCTGTCTCCAGTACCTACTCATGTCTAAAGCAGAATGCATACATAATGGACATCTGTAGCCTCTAGAAAAGAGAGAAAGGTTACTTCATAAACACTATGTGGACAAGGTATCACCTGGGCATACTAGATCATGAGAGCTGGTATATAAATCCAAGACAGGGCCTTGTTCTGTATTCCAAGATATTCTATAAAATTTATTCAGATCATACTATTACCTTTCTAAAATTTTGAAAAACTTCCTCTCTACCTGGCTCTTACATTAACTTAAAATTTCTCTTAATCAGTTTCCAGGAACCAAAAACATTTCTACAGTGTCCTCTTTCCTAACTATTCTCAATTCATTTTGACATCACTTCCTGCTTTAGATAACCTCATTACCAGTTTTTTGTTTGTTTTTTTTTTTCGGGGGATTATACTGGTCTAATATAATAACTTAGCAGAATTTTGAGTAACATGTCTCGACAATTTTATAGTGTAAGTCATTATGGTAAGGACTGTGTTCCCTGACAAGTATGGCCAAAAAATGAATTTTAAGTTGTGGGATGAAATAAGACATAAAAGAATATGGGCAGAAAGGTGTAATCTTATATTCCCCAAGATGCTTTATGAGTTTAACAACATCCATCTACCCTATCCATCTCAAGATATCTACCATACCCCAGATAGTACAAGTAAGAGCAGTATTGCCTGCCTCCCACACCTCTACAGAACAAAAACAAACATCTTACAATTGTATTTTTTAAATCCCATCAAACACTCACTCTTTCAACATTTCTTCATAACACGTTCTGAAAGAAAATATAACATTATTTTAATAAAGTAAAAACTACTTCCACTATTTCCAAAATCTTTTAAGTGAAACACCAAACCAACTTTTACCTGTGCAGAAGATGTCCACATGGCAAAACATGAGCAACAACACGTGATGTATGAATGTCCTATAAATGAAACAAATGTCACTGCTTATGTAAAGACAATAGAAACAAAGTAATTTTAGTTCAACAAGGAAATTTTGCAAAGAAAATAACTTTTAAGCTTACCTCCAAACATATTGGGCAATTCTGCCTGGAGACATTTTCAATACACTAAGGAAAAAACCAAATTACCAAAGGCTTATTAACTAGCAGAAAATATCAGACATAATAACAGTATTAATAATAAAATCTAACCAAGGACAACAATACCATCTTACTAAATACAAAAATCAGCTTTAATACATGTTTCTTATATGTCAGACAAGGATCAAATAAAATAGGTGTGTTGTTTTGCACACTAACTGAAACAATGAAATAATTCAATACATCTTAATTATTCAAATTATCTTCACTTTACAGATAAAGAAACTTAATGGGCCAAGATATATCAAAGACACAGAGTAACATTTGGAAACTTTCAGTTTAATGTTTTATGCCAAAGCTAAACTACTTAGTATTTATAACTGACTTTTACCAGATACCGTATGTTCAGAACATTATCTGTATTAGCCCAATTAATTAGCACAACTCTAAATAAAAATTACAATTTTTACCCCACTTTATAGATGTTGTATTTGAGGTCTACAGTAGCTAAATAACTCACAACATTACTCGCTACTAAGAAATGGAACTATTTTTGAGCTACAAAAGGCTACCTCCAGAGTGTGAGTTCCTAAGCTGGTAAGATTTAGTATCTGATTATAAGGGGAGGAAAGGGAACCTGACCATGGGTGATGCCCAGGTTTTTGAAGTACATAACCACTGAAATAGAGGGTAGAGCTGACTAATATACACAGTAAGGACCTCCCTAGTGGCTAGGGGTTAACTGTCAGTGCTATACCATGAAGGCCCATCTCAAGGTCCTGAGTTCGATCCCCTGCCAGGGAGATACACATATGGTGCAACAGCCCTCTCCTCTCTCACTCGCTGCTCCCCTCAGCAGTGCATTTCAGTAGATCTGCCTGTTTTGCTCCCAACTCTGTCTCTGGTGAATCCAGAGACAACCCCCACCCCCACCCCCCCAAACACACACACACATTTTTGGTCTGCACCCCAGTCCTTCTATGCAAAAATTCATAAAAATAAATAAAAAGCTAACATACACAGTAAGATAACTACCAAAAGTATCACAAGAAAAAAAATGTATGTATACAATCACACACACTCACAGTTTTTAAACAACAGAGTGAGCAGAAATACCCCTTAAAAACAGCAAGTTCAGGGCTCTCCCTGATGGTGCAGCTGGTTAAGGCACAGCACTAAGAAACTAAAAGCCATTTCAGCATGAGTTCAATCCCTGCACTGGAGGTGATCCACATGGCGCGGCAGACCTCTTCTGACCTGCCCTCTGTTCCCCTCAGCAGTGTATGTCAGTCGGCATGTTCTGCTCCCCACTCTGTTTCTGGTGAAGCCTCTCACCACCCCTGAACACTTTTATCTGCTTTGTTTTTCTTTGCTGATGCACCTCCTGCACACATTGTGTCTGGCACAGTGTTGAATAAATGAATGATATGCTTGACTGAGCTGAACTTAGAAAAATATTGGCTTATAACTAGCATCTTAAGATTCAGAAATACGATGTTTTCTATGAGAATAGAAAAAAAATTATGATAAGAATGTTAAAAAAATATATAAGAACTAATTCATAGGCAGGGGGATGTTAACAAAATATGAAGTAAAAAGTTTTCTAAATAACCATATTGGGGCCCTCCCTGGTGGTGCAGTGGGTTAAAGCACAACACTAAGAAGCTAAAGCCTCTTCGGAATGAGTTGGGTCCCTGCCCTGGAAGTGACCCACATGGTGCAGCAGACTTCTCCTGACCCACCCACTGTTCCCCTCAGCAGTGTACGTCATTGAGCTGCCTGTTCTACTCCCCACTCTGTCTTGGGTGAAGCCTCTCACTGCCCCCACACTTCTGGCCTGTACCCCAGATCTGTATGCATAAATAAATCTTAAAAAAAAAAAAACCCCATATTGTACTAACTTCCCCAAAAAAGGCTCTCAATTTGTGTCATTATAAACTAGTTTTCAGCATCAATAGCCCTCACAGAAAAACTTTTTAATAAAAAGTGGGGAAACTTACCATGCTTGAATGAAGATTTAAAAAAAAAAAATAGTAAGTTCAAAAATCTAGATTGTATTCCTAACCTTGCCATTTATACTGACAATTAAGCTCTAGGGAAAGTCATTACTTCTTGGGTCTTAATTTTCCTTATTATAAAACAAAATCAATACATATTTCATTGACTCTAAGATGTACTTTCTACACACACATACATTTTAACATCTTTGGAATGTTAAGCAATGATATCTTAAATTGATGAGATGCAAATCTTGTTATGTGGGTGAAGTGAGTTGGTTGTGTTTATGTAGAAGCACATGTCCATGTATGCTCTGGAAACGAAGCATTTTAGAAATGTCATTGTAAAAGGATACTCACTTCTGAATAATCCACTAGCGTATTTTGCTCAAGCCTGCAAAATCACCAACAAATTCACAGTACCTTCACATTAACTATGTACCTTCAGGGTACTTAAAAACCTTGGGAATAATCTTCATTCAGCCCCATTCTTTTTCCTTTACACTTTGTTACCAAATCCCACATTATTCATCTCTTTTTATCATTACTTCACTATTTCAGGAAAGTTGTCAGTTATCTGTAGTTCTGTAATAATGTCTTATCCTTATAGCCTACTGAAATTATAATGCAAAGCAAATGACTTCAGTTAGTTCTCTTTCTAACCAATGTCTGTATCTGTCTTTCAGCACCCTAATATGCTACCACATATGCTTTTCACCTGTAGCTGGAACTCCCTATACCTGTAAAAAACCTACTTACACTTCATTCTGGCTGTTGTGCTTTGCATTTTGAAAGTTATTCCTAAACCTTTACTGATAACAAGATTATAAATCATAAGATGTCAATACTATGTTAATAACTGATATAAGCATATTCTTTCAAGCCATAAGAAGGAATTATGATTCTAAGGTAATTATTTCATTATGTCTACTTCTTAATACTGCTTTAAAAAAAAAAATCTCTATTGTACCTGGTAATATCTGAAAAGTAGCAAACTTCCAAACTATTAGAAGTTAGCTGGTTTCAAAAACATCATATTACTTTTTAAATTATGCAAACTAAACTATATACCTTGTGTTTTCCTTGGAGACTCATAGCTAGGCATAAGTTACATTTCAAACAGTGGAAAAAATCTTCCTTTGGGCCAATCCTAAGAAAACACAAACATGAAAGCCAAGCAATTAGATTCATTTTTACTACAGTAATAACTTTTTCTTTATACATAAGTTTAGTGTCACCGTAAAGAAAGTTCAAACTACAGAATCCCTTGTTTATTGTAGCATTATACTTTCTAACATCTATTTTATATACCTTTTGCAAATAATAATTCAGAATTTCTAAAAAGAAAAATCCCTATATACCAAGCTGGCAATAGTGGCTTCTCAATGAGTGGTCAGACTATATGTCAATTTATTTTTTTTTTTTATTAAAAAGTTTATTTTTACATCATTTTGCACATTTTTTTT